TGGGATTCTCCAGGCAAGAACACTGGAGTGGGTTGCCATGCCCTCCTCCAGGGGATCTTCCCCACCCAGGGATCGAACTCCCATCTCTTATGTCTCCTACATTGGCAGGTGGGTTCTTTACCACTAGCGCCACCTGGGAAGCCAAGTAACAAGGTCAGTTTTACTGAATGTCCCCATGTCAACCAGGGAAACTGGGAACAGAAATCTGGGGCCTAAAAGAAAGGTTTTAGATATCACTACCCATCTCCAATTCCATTTACACTGAAGTTTCTCCCAGTTACAGCTGTTTTGTTTAATTTAGCAACTGGATCCACACAAATGCTGGCACAAGTCCTGTTATGGGTGCCCTATGCACTTGGGAGGCAGAAACCTCCGCCATGACTCACTGCTAAAGTTCTGGGGAAAATCAGGTTTCAGAACTGCCTGCCCTCCCACCCCGTGGGGTTACGTTGGAAACATTAATATAAACAGGAATAAACATCCCTCTCTGCCGGTGAGCTTCATATGGACAAGCTTTACCTGTGCAGGCAGGACCACGTCGCAGGGCCTGCTCTCCACCACCCAGTGCTAATGCCAGTCAGAGTCTGAGGATGCTGAAGGTCCCTGATATTCATTCCTGGGCCCTGAGGGCTTCATCAGCACATTTCCCCCTCTCCTACTAACTTGTTGTTTGCTAACGGATTATTTCCAGGTTTTAGGGCTCACTCTTTGTCCTAGTCCAGACCACAGAAGGGTTTACTTTCCCACTTAGGAGTTTGCCAGGAGCAAAAAGTAACAACATCCCAACCCCCTGTCAACTCAACAAAGATTTATTGAAGTTAACTAAAAGAATACTTGTTATGACAGGAATACCATATGCTTCAGCAAAGATAGAATCCAAGCTTATGGCTGGCCTTTGCAAACAGCCAGGATCCAACCTGCCAACACAGCCTATTTTTTTTTCTGGTTGCACAGTCATTAACAGTGCAACATCCGGACCCAGGGATGTTTCCAAGGTGGGGCTTCAGGTTGGCACTCAGATAATGAGATTAGCTCCAGCAGTAGTTCTCAACAGACTGCAGCAACCACTATAGGCTCTTTGTTTGGACTGTTGGCCTCTCTAACCACTGTCCATCCTCCTTTTCGTTAATTATAAACAGAAACCTAGGTATTTGGAGAACAGTTAGTTCTTAGCTAAAAGTACCACATTTCCCATCCTGCTTTGCACAATTAAGATTAGTGACTTGCCAGGTGAAGACCACTGGAGACTTCTGGGAAAGTTTTGCCATCCTAATGTAGAGGCTGTCTCTTGTCCTTCCCCTCTACCCCTCTCTAGTGTTTGGGTTTTCTGAAGCCTGTTGTGGCTGTGAGAGCTGGACTGTAAAGAAAGCAGAGTGCCAAAGAATTAATGCCTTTTAACTGTGGTGCTAGTTCAGTTCAGTTCAGTCGCTCAGTCGTGTCTGACTTTTGCAACCCCATGAATTGCAGCACGTCAGGCCTCCCTGTCCATCACCAACTCCCGGAGTCCACCCAAACCCATGTCCATTGAGTCGGTGATGCCATCCAACCATCTCATCTTCTGTCATCCCCTTCTCCTCCTGCCCTCAATCTTTCCCAGCATCAGGGTCTTTACAAATGAGTCAGCTCTTCTCATCAGGTGGCTAGAGTATTGGAGTTTCAGCTTCGACATCAGTCCTTCCAATGAACACCAGGACTGATCTCCTTTAGGATGGACTGGTTGGGTCTCCTTGCAGTCCAAGGGACTCTCAAGAGTCTTCTCCAACACCATAGTTCAAAGCATTAATTCTTCAGCGCTCAGCTTTTTTATAGTCCAACTCTCACATCCACACATGATCACTGGAAAAACCATAGCCTTGACTAGACGGACCTTTGTTGGCAAAGTAATGTCTCTGCTTTTTAATATGCTATCTAGGTTGGTCACAACTTTTCTTCCAAGGAGTAAGCGTCTTTTAATTTCATGGCTGCAATCACCATCTGCAGTGATTTTGGAGCCCAGAAAAATAAAATCAGCCACTGTTTCCCCATCTATTTGCCATGAAGTGATGGGACCAGTTGCCATGATCTGTTTTCTGAATGTTGAGCTTTAAGCCAACTTTTTCACTCTCCTCTTTCACTTTCATCAAGAGGCTCTTTAGTTCTTTAGTGGTGCTAGAGAAAACACCTAAGAGTCCCTTGGACAGCAAGGAGATCAAACCAGTCAATCTTAACAGAAATCAACCCTGAATATTCACTGGAAGGACTGATGCTGAAGCTCCAGTATTTTGGTCATCTGATGTGAACAGATGACTCATTGGTAAAGTCCCTGATGCTGGGAAAGATTGAGGGCAGAAGGGGAAAGAGGGTGTCAGAGGATGAGATGTTTGGATGGCATCACCAATGCAATGGACATGAACTTGGGCAAACTTCGGGAGGTGGGTAGGGACAGGGAAGCCTGGCATACTGCAGTCCCTGGGGTCGCAAAGAGTTGGATACGACTGGGAGACTGAACAACAAGCATTCTTTTCAATTACTTCTCAGGTTGTAGTTGTGTTCAAAGGTTTGAAACTGCTGGGAGTCTTATTTTTAGATAACAGAATTCCTGTACATGAATTGGTTAATCTTTAAAAATTGATTTATACAGTTTGATGCTGAATATTCTAAGTAAAAATGATTAAACCTCTACCTTTTCTCAAAGTTACTAATTTATACACAGGCAAACATGAGATTAGGTAACTAATTAGAGGAAGATCGAGAAGTTTGAGTAAATCAACTCTACTTCAATAAAATTAAAAGATTAAGAATCACAAAAAAATTTTTTTAAAAGAAAGGGAAATGGGCAATTTATTTCAATAAAGGGAGAGGACTGATTTTGCTACAGTGGGGAAAAAAAATTAGAAGGTTACAAACTGCTGAATTAAATATATCCCATTTCTCTCTGCACAATACCTTTATCTCAGTGTCTCCATTCCTTCTACTTTTATTTCATACCAAGGCATTGACTGAGAAACATATATAGTCAACAAACTGCTTGACATATCTGATCTAGGGTGGCTTCTACATCACTCTTCTCTCTCTTTTTCCTCCCAGTAAATACTCTGGACACTGACATTTGCCACTTTGGAAATGACAGGTACCTGAGGACAAACGCATCAAAGTGATTAGGACCAGAATGTCTGTTAAGGATTATTTTTTTTAATAGAGTAGAATGTAGTTTTATTGAATGCTTGAGATGCAGAACCAAAAGAAACTCCTTTCTTGTGAAAGAAAACAATCCAAACAATTGTAAACCCCGGAAACCAACAGAAGCACTTAAACCTTCAATATGAACATGTTTATTTTTCCAACTCGGATATTGTTCTGAAGTACACTTGTAATCTAAATACCCCTTTCTCTCCTTCCCTTTACAACATACCATTTCAGTCTGTTTGTTTACAGAACAATGGCCTTAAGGAAAAAGCCTTATTCACATTCCCACAAAAGAAATAAATAAAATACTTGTCTCTAGGATCCATTTAACTAAACTTGACTTAAATCCTGGTAGAGGCTTCCATCTCTATAACAGACACAAAAGAGGATGAATGATCTTTCATTATCAAAACAAACTCCTATTAATATAGCTAAACAGTTCTTTAAATTATTCAAATACATTTACTATGCTCCTATAATGTGCAAAGTACTGTTCCAAAGTAGACACCCTTCCTTAGATGTACAGTGGGCCACTAAATAATAATTTCAGGAGCTTAAGACATTGGTACAGTCAAAATACCCTAATGATATGAAATGGTCTCTGTTGCTGCTGCTTCCAAAAGTGCCCGGTTTATTTCTAAGGAACAGCTCAGGCATTTAGAAGAATAATTCAAACTTAAGCTTTAATACAAGACGGGGTTAGGCAGTGATTGTACCTTCATAACATAATATAACCATATGAAGTACATTCTGGTGATCTAAAATGCTAGCATCTGTGCAAGGTAACCTAAGAAATTAGACACCATTTCTTTTAAAAAGGTACCAATTTCAAAATAAATCAGGATACAAATCAATTGCCATTTTAGGAAAAATAAAAATATAGAAACACCAACTCCTCTTCCCAGCTCTGAAATTACACTTCCTCCGACACACTGCCATCATTGGTAAGTATGGGGGTCAACTGGGTAAATTTAAATCACATTGGATAATTACATAATTTGACCTAGCTTGGGTATGTGTGTGATCCCAAAGACTTTTCAACATATTTTTCAGCAATACAGTGGTAGCAATAGAAACTGAAGAAATTGGAAGTATTTTCTTAGAGACAGCTTACAGATTTCTTACAGATTCCAAAGTGAAAATATAATACATCACCATCATAACACAAGCTTCTTTGTCACTCCTAAGACCCAACTTCGCAGGACATCAGGCTTCCTAGTGTTTCCTTCATCTGCCTCTACTTGGGTTTTCTTTCCCCTGAACTAAATAGGGAGGGCCTTTCAAGTCAAATGTTATCTGCTGGCAAGGTACCTTCAGGATAGATATGCTCACATCATTTCTATATTGACAAGTCAAGCCTCCATTTATGAGGCTTAAATTCAGCTCCTGGTCTCTTTATTCAGAACTTCTCTCATTTACTTATAAAAAGAGCAACAACCCCCCCAAAAAAAATCCAAGAGAAAAAAAGAACTACCCTCATTTACTTAAAAGGATCATTCAAAACACTAGGGAAAAAATTTCCCTCTGAAGAAGACTTATTCAAGGAACGCAATACTGTTTACAGCTCATGGCCCACCTTAGAAAGGCAAACTCAACTTAGTCTCCTGAAAAGAATCTCAGTAGTCTCCCATTTGGAAACTTGCTATTCCTATTATTTTCTAATGTGGTTAAATAAAATTAAATGTTAATAATAAACAGTAATTAAATAATAAACTTAAAATAAATAATAATTAAAAAAAAAAAACATGGTCTGGAGGTTTTTACAAAAGGTAATAAAGGTCAATTTCCATTAAATTCACATTCCTTTCTGTACCAATTTCTACAATGAGTTACAGCATGAAGTCAGTAAATGAAACTGTTAACCATTTTCTCTTCCTTCATTTTCTTCCGCAAGGGGGCGGGACTTAGGTGAAGGTTTAGTGGATTTCCCCTCTCAGAGCACCTGGAGGTCTGGCTATAAGTCACCTAGGAAGGTCCACTCCACCCCCAGGTTGGATCTGTGAGCAGGGTACGCTGAGAGAGGAGGGGGAGCATATCAGCGGAGGTGCGTCCCTTGGGTCCTGAACCCTCCTACACAGTTCAGAGAGTCTGATGAGCACTAGATTCTGGAGTTCTTCATACTCAGAAACTCTGCCAGAGAGGTTTTAAAGCTAGTGTCTCTTCTCACGGGTGTTTTTCAGGACCTCAAAGCCTAGTGGGGCTCGGAGAGGACCCAGAGAGTGGGGATGTCTGCACTGCTCTCCAGCCTCGGCTCAAATCACCCGCCGAGGCAGGGACAGGCACGTTGCGCCAAGGCAGGGACAGGCACGTTGCAACAACTTTAAATCAGGAGTGCCCAAGGGCGTGAAGACTGAACGGTTATGATAAAAGGTAAAATAGTTTTCAGGTCATACATCCCACCAGGATCAGGCAGGTAAAAGTCCCTAGCACTCAGCCCCTGGCAGGATGTCAGTGATGGGTAAAGAAGAGCTGGGAGAACACACCCCCACCCCTCACCCCATCATCGAATAGTTTTTCTCATCTTTTGCATTCAGCTCCTAGCCCAACTTGGTGTTTTCCTGAGGGAGATACAAATATGGAGCATCCCATGGGGATGGTTTTCAGGATTCTGTCATTAGATGGGAAAAGATGTTCTCAGAAAAACTGCCCCCTGGGCCGGTCAGCCGAGATCTTGAGGTCGTGGCCGCGGCTGCTCTTCGTGTAGAGCTGGACTCTGAACTCCAGCTGCTCGCTGAGCTCGTCCAGCGCCCGAGTGCAGGACTCCAGGCTCTCGGCCAGTTTCTGAATCTTGGCCTTTAGCACGGCCTGGCTAACCCTGGTGGCCCCCTCGGCCCGCCTGGGCACGAGGAAGCCGCGGGAACCAAAGAAGACGATGAAGTATACCGAGTTGTAGAGCGCGATGGACGCGTTCCTCCCGCACTGCAGCAGCTGGCGGTCTCCGCCGCCCTGCCCGCGGCGGAAGAAGTCGAGGCAGCTCAGCATCTCGCGCATCTGGTCCTGGCAGATGGCCGCGATCTCCTGCACGCGCCGCAGCTCCCGGGAGTTGCAGAAGATCAGGGCGAGGTCGGACGTGATGGTGACGGCCCCGCCGGCGGTGGCCACCCCAAGCCCCACGGCCGACGCCAGCAGCGAGACCCCCAGGGTGACGGGGCTGAGCGAGAGTCCCACGATGGCGGCCACAGCGCCCGCCGCGCTCAGCGAGCTGCCGGCCACGTTGGCCGCCAGGGAGCGCCGACGTAGGCGCTCTAGGCGCCGTGCCACCTCGCGCAGACGCAGTAGCTGGCCGTGCAGCCGTCCGCGGCGGTCCAGCAGCAGCCCCTGGAAGCGTCGCAGAGCATCCGCTCCCTGCAGCTCCCGGGCCGCCGGCCTCTCCATGTCCTGCGGGGACGAGACACGCGGTTAGCCCGAAGTCGAGCGCAACAGCTACGGCCACCCAAAGGGAAACGGGTCATTTTCCAGTGAGTCATGTGTCAGGTTCTCAAAGACCCGTTCTGTCATCTGGGACAAGTCCTCCACTTCCCAGGACTTAAATACGAGTAAGCCAATAGGAATAATGCTCTCGTCCACTTTTCTCCCAGGGAATGCCAAGGATTGATTTTTTTTTTTAATCTGTTAAATAAGGGAGTGGTGCTATTAATATTTGGAGAAAAAAAATTGCAATCCACTCCAGTATTCTTGCCTAGAGAATCCTGTGGACAGAGGAACTTGGTGGGCTGATGTCTATGGGGTCACACAGAGTCGGACACGACTGAAGTGACTTAGCAGAAGCAGCAGCAGCTATTAATATTAGAAGTCTACTGCAATACTGAAGGGCTTCCCAGGTGGCTAAGTGGTAAAGAATCGGTCTGCCAATGCAGGAGATGCAAGTTCGATCCCTGGGTGGGGATGATCTCCTAGAGAAGGAAATGGCTACCCACTCCAGTATTCTTGCCTGGAGAAGTCCATGGATGGAGAAGCCTGGCAGGCTACAATCCATGGGGTCAGAAAGAGCCTCCCAGGACTGAACAGGCACGGAATACTGAGCCCTCTTCTCTGCAAGATGACATGTGGCAAGCAATAGGTTGTACCCCTTTACAAAGCCCTTTCCTTACAAGAAGACTAAGATCTTAGGAGTTTTGCAATAGTTTTCCCCCTCTCTGATGAGTGAAAAAGACAAATCACCAAAAACTCAAAAAGCATCTATCAAATGTACGAAAATAATTTTTCTAAGTTAGATGCTCACCTGAAGCAACTCTTCTGCTTGTTATTTTTCCCAGCTCTTATCTTAGAATCAAGCCTAAGATTACTTAGGCTTGTGCTATTTCTTCTAACTAGAGTTCATCAGGTCTTCAGAAATCTTACTCTGATACATGCTTAATTAAAACTAAATTACACTAGCACCAGTTTGTTCCTTTATGATGAAAGCTCCCTTTAAAAATGAGTAACAATTGAACAGAATTTTAAAAGGGACCACAATTTTTATTGAACAGCTCACTGAGGGCTACCAGTACTGAGCTGAATGGAAGCCAATTGAAGATGACTAACAGAGAAAACTACATCCTGAGTAAAAGTACATCCTTTCTAGTTGCCAAAGATTTCTCCCTTCATAGCCATTGTACTTTTCATTATTAGGAACTTCTCAAAAGTGACAAAGCTATAGAAATCCAACACTTCACTACTGTGAGATATCAGGGCAGAAATCATTATTCTCAAGTGGAAGGTGAGGAAATTGAAACACAGATAAGTTCTATCTACCGCTGATACTTCACAGAGCCCAGTGTAGAAGTCCACTGGTCTCTAGACTCCTAGATCTTAATTTTATTAGCATGCCTCCACAATTGTACCCACCACTGACAAACTGCCAGATAAAGACACCTCTGAGCAAAAAGGAGGCAAAGTTTCTCAAAATGTATTATGGACCAAGGCTACAACCCCAGTAGTACCAGTCCAGTGGCTATTCTTTCAGATAGCATTCCTCTGGTCTCCCCACTTACCATTCACTTCTGGCTATCTCCAGGAAAGAAGAATCTGAGGCTGTTTCTGGATGAGCAAGCTTTATAGTTCCAGAGAGCCAATGACAGCCCTGGGAAAGCCTTGTCTTATTCTGAGAATTTGCCATTTCCTGTCCTGGCCCCTGCTGCCTTCATCCAGAAGGATATGACATGGTGGAAAATGACCAGCCAGCCTCGCAGCACATCCCGTATTTAGGAAATGAACATTGTGTGTTCGCTTTCGCCCAAACGCAGGAAAAGAACCACAGGCTCTTCCCCAACTTGAAACAAGTGCTGTCATTGTCCCGGGGGCATACTCTGCCTTCCCTTTCCCGAAAATAGCTAATGACGTTATCTGAGCGGACATCAAACGCACCCCAGGCTGACCAATTATAGTGTTTCTTGGGAGGCCATCAGTACACAACCACTTTTTAAAAAGAAAAAGGGAAGAGACTCTGTCTGATAGAGCCACTCACAGTCCACTCCCGTATTTTTTTTTAAAAAAAAAGCATCGTGAATCTGAGCATTTGAAACACGTGATTCAGTAGGCGCGCAGCCTTCAGAATGCAGAGCCACGCCCACAGGAAGTGCTGCGTGCAGTTTTGAGCATCTCCAGCTGCGGAGAAGCTCTTAGAGGTCTCAGAAAGGGCACACCTCGGGCCAAATGCGTCAGAAAAATCAGTGGGGTCAGGCTGCACGAGGAGCTAATTATACACTTTCAACAGCAGCGGAGATTCTGTTTCCTGGGTTTTCATGGGAAGCAACCACTGTAGCCCAGGCGATGGTTATATGAGTGCATTCTACCCCCACGGAGTGAAGCACCGGCTGAAGGGCAATATTCTGGATCATTCAGGAGAGGATGCTTTCTGGGACATTCAGATAGGTGTTGGCTGCTCAGCCAGGAAGACTCCTACCACAGGTTCCCAGATACGAATTATTGTCGCAACTCTCTGGTTCATCTGGAAAGCCTTAGCAACCATATCTTTCTTGAACACAAGTCCCCCACCTTTATAAGTAGACATTGTATTGAGGAACACAACCCAGGTTTTTGCCTGGGCCTTTTGAACTTGCTTTTTCTGAATTTGACCCATGTCCAAAAATTCTGGTTACAGCTCCTCAAAGGATAAACATAACCCTCAGTCAGACACCTTCAGTGCCTGCCTCTGCTTTTGAGGTAAGAGGTGGGAAAATGTCTTCCACTGAACCCATAGGCATAGTCATTCCAAATGGGATGTAAGGCAGGGTGAATTCACCTTTACAGGTGAATGCCTGTAAAGCAGGCAGGCGGGCAGGCGGTGGGGGGGTGGGAGGCGGTGGTATAGTAGGCAGGGAGTGAGACAATGTACCCTGATTCTTCAATTCTCATTTGCTCCTCCAACTTCCCTGGACATTTTCTTGTGTTTGGGGTTTTGTTGTTGTTTAGTCACTGCGTGGTAGCTGTGGTATGCCAGGCTCCTCTGTCCATGGGATTCTCAGGCAGGAATACTGGAGTGGGTTGCCACTTCCTTTCCCAGGGGATCTTCCTGACCCAGGGATCGAACACTCATCTCCTGCATTGGCAGGCAGATTCTTTACCACTGAGCCACCAGAGAAGCCCGTGTTTGGGGTTTAGATGAACACAAATAAATCTTGATTTCATGAATGGGTGAATGTTGCTGGGATACAGAGAGGATCATCATCTTCAGAGCATCGGTAATCATAGTACAGAAGTAGGATGAAGTGGAGGAGATCCAGAAGAATGGGCAGTACTGACCTCAGCCAGTATCCAAGAATTTGTTTTTCTCTGTTATAAATCCATTTTCTTTTTTTTTTTTTTAAGGAACAAAAAGAATTCATTCATTTGACAGTTTGGGCTTGTTGTAGTTTTACCGCCTATAAAAATCTGGTACTTCACATCATTTCTAAAAATGGACACATGAACATAATACTTTTGACTCAGTATTTATTTACTTTCATATATTTATGCACAATAAGAAATTTGAGGAATAATTGAAGGTATTTGGTCAAAAGTATTATTGAGGCAGTTCCTTCAACATCTTGGGGACTGCACCCTCAAACTTCTTTTCTTTTTTTTTTTTNGTGTATGCCCACAAACTTCTTTTCTAAACTGTTTTCTGGGCACTTGTAACCCATCACCCTGGACACGTTACATTGAAAATGGTGACTGACCTTCAGATTAAACATGCAACCAGGGCTGTGAACCACTGCTGGAGAAGCTGTGAATTCTCTGACCACTGGTTACAAGGCAGCAGAAACAGTATGGCTAGTAGGTAGCAGTTTGTGAGTCAGGTGTTTATACAGTTAAGTTATTAACAACTCATTAGTCTGGGGCGCCTAGCTAAAATTATCACATTTTAAAAATAAAGTGATAACTATGTTCTGGGCCTCCCAGAGTTCTAGAAAGGTCTGGGCCACCTCCATTTTTTTAAGGGTCTCAGTGAATTTTTTTTTAAAGAAGAAATTTTATAAACAAGAAGGTCCTCCTGTATAGCACAGAAAATTATCTTCAGTGTTTCTATGAGAAACCAAAATGAAACAGAATATTTTTTAAAAGAATGTATATATAGGGCTGTCCCAAAAAGTTCATTCGGGTTTTTTCATAATATCCTATGGAAAAACTCAAACGAACTTTTTGGCCAACCCAGTATAACTGAATCACTTTGCTGTACAACAGAAATTTTTTAAATTGATTTTTATTGGAGTCTAATTGATTTATAATGTTGTTTGTTTATGCTGTGTAGGAAAGTAAATCAGTTATGCATATACATGTATCCACTCTTTTTTAGATTTTTTCCATACAGGGCATTACAGAGTATTTGAGTAGTTTCCTGTGCTATAGAGTAGGTCCTTATTAGTTACCTATTTTATATAGAGTAGTGTGTATATGTTAGTCCCAGTCTCCCAATTTATCCCCCCTTCTTTCCCCTCTTGGTAACCATAAGTGTGTTTTCTACATCTGTGACTCTATTTCTGTTTTTGTAAATAAGTTCATTTGTACCCTTCTTTTAGATTCCACACACAAACAGTATCTATGATATTTCTCTATCTTACTTCACTCAGTATGACAGTCCATCCATTTGGCTGCAGCAGAAATGAACATAACACTGTAAATCAGCTATACTTCGATCAAATGAAACAAATGAAAAGAAGACATTTTAAAATGAGATATAAAAATGTGTGGTTTCTTTCTTTTAATTGCCATATGACAGATCTTACAATGTCACTATTTCTCTATTCACAAGATAATCCCTGATTTGTAAAATAGTGCGCTACACTGGCAGTGTGACACAAGTTTGGGGAGCTGGCACTTGGTGCTCTATGACAACCTAGAGGGGTGGGATGGGGTGGGCGGGTCAAGAGAGAGGGGACATGTGTATACCTATGGTTGATCCATGTTGATGTATGGCAGAAGCGAACACAATATTGTAAGCAATTATCCTCCAATTAAAAATAAATAAAATTTTTTAATTTAATATTTATTTATTTGGCTGTGCTGAGTCTCAGTTGCAACACAAGGGATCTTCAATCTTCACTGCAGCATGCGGGACCTAGTTGCCTGACCAGGGATCTAATCCGGGCCCCTTGCATTGGAAACATGGAGTCTTACCCCTGGACCACCAGAGATGTCCCCAGTGATGATGTTTTTCTTTTAGCCTTTCTTGGTGTATCTCAGTGACTGTGCATAGAACCCTTTCTGAAGACAGTGTCAAAAGTATAAAATTGAGACAATTTGTGAATGTGAGATTTAGGCCAAAGGTTTTTCAGACTTTCCTTTGTGCTAGGTCCTAATGTGTATAGTCATCGAAATAAACACAAGTAAGTTAAAATAATACCACCACTGCCTGAGGATCTTTGCCCATTTTTTTGGTAAATTTCATGAGCATGTAAGTGCTATAGCACATAATTAGACTCAAATTACTTGCTGAATTTAAAGTATTTTGTTCTCTTAAAGAAGTGTTGCTACTTTCATAATAATTTGATGAGAATTTAGCACTAAATTACAACCTGATAGGAAATTTAGAGCCCTTATTTTGCAAACTTTCCACATATCCATGTTGGGAATTTCCCTAGTGGTCACGTGGTTAAGAATTTGCCTTGCAAGGCAGGGGACACAGGTTCAACCCCTGGTCGAGGAACTAAGATTCCATGTGCTTCAGAGCAACTAAGCCATGCCACAATTAGAGAATCTGTGTGAGCAATGAAAGATACTGAAAGATCCTGTTTAACATAATGAAGATCCTAGGTGCAGCAATTAAGACCTACACAGCCAAAAAATTTTTTTAATTTTTTTTTTAATTAATAAAAAAGATACCTATGTTGCATGAGATCTAAACTATTAATGCCAGAAATTTATGGAATTGCACAGGAAAGAAAGTATTGAACTCCAGCCATTTTCAATTTCTGCAGATTAGCCTCTGATCTTTCATGTACACACACATCCTTAACCATTCGTGTTTAAACACTGGCCTGTGTTCTTTTCTCCACTTAACGTTCCTGCAGATACACACTTCTCCATGTTGACATAGTCCTCACCTCTGTCATTTTTAATAGCTCTATTATAATCCCATTGTTTGCTTAGTCATTTCCCTATTAGACACTTGGATCACCTCCAGGTTTTTTCACTATTTTAACTAGAGTTACCGGGAACATCTGTGTAAATTTTTCCCCTTGGGATCATTTCTTTGGGGAGTATTCACAAACAGGAAAATGCCAAGTAAAAGAGAATGAACATTTTCATGGTTTTTGTTGCATGTTGTTGTATTGCTTCCCAAAACACCGATTTATTGATATAATGCGATAAGCTTTGTAAGAATCCTGGCTGCAGGCTATGGGACTACTCAAAGACTACTTAATTTGTTCGGTTTATTTCAGCTCCACAAACAAGTATCAAATACCTGTGTGTGTCAGACACCATGCTAAATTCTGAGAATAAAAAGCTGAGTAAGGTACCATGCCTGCCATCCAGAATGAAGACAATCCACTGGAGAGAAAAATACAGAACAGATCATTTCAATTCTATGTGGAAAGTGCCAAAGGTGTGTGCACCAAAGAAGCACAGAGTCCTATGAAGCACTAGGTATGACTTTCTAGAAGCACTGCTATTGAGCTGAAACTTGAGAGTGGAACAGAAGTGGTTATTTGGACAAAAATTAGGAGGGAGAGGGGAGCAAGCTAAGGAAACAGAATGG